GGTTCATCCAGTGTTCCATGTGTCTATGCTCCGAAAATATCATGGTGATCCGTCCCATGTGTTAAATTTCAGCTCAGTCCAATTGGACAAAGATTTGCCTTACAAGGAGGAGCCGGTTGCTATTCTAGCCCGGCAGGTCCGACAGTTGAGGTCTAAGAGTTATCCTTCAGTACAGGTGCAATGGAGAGGTCAGACGGTAGAGGCATCTACCTGGGAGTCCGAGTCGGACATGCGGAGTAAATATCCACACTTATTCACTAGCTTAGGTATTTTTTTTTAACTCCATTCGAGGACGAACGTTTGTTTTAGAGGTGGAGAATGTGATGACCCAAAATGTCATCTTTAAATTTAATAAGTAATTTTATATTCTAAAATCTTAAAAAGTACTAATTATCATTCCTCGACTTGTGTGCACAGTCCGTAAAATTTTTCGAAAGGTTTTTATGTGAAAAATAGATTAAAATGTGAAATAGAGCCTTGAAACTCAATTGAGTTGACTTTGGTTAATATTTTGAGCAAACAGACCCGGATCAGTATTTTGACAGTTCCGGTAGCTCCGTATCGTGATTTGACCACGGGGTTGACTTTTTAATATCGGAGCCGGAATACGATTCTGGAAATTTGAATAGCTCCGTTATGTCATTTATGACTTGTGTGCCAAATTTAAAGTCATTTCGAATTCATTTAATATGTTTTGGCATGAGATTTGCAAATTGAAAAGTTTAAAACTCTTAAGTTCGAATCGGGGTGTGAATTGTAAGTTCATCGTTGTTTGACGTGATATTAGACCCCGAGTAAGTCCGTATTATGTTACGGGACTTGTTGGTATATTCGGACGTGGTCCCGAGTACCCCGAGTGTGATTCGAATTGAAATCGGAATAAGAATTGGACTTAAGCAAAATCTGAAATTTTGCCTTCTGTTGTAATCGCACCTGCGAATTTTTGACTGCAGGTGCGAGCTCGCAAAAGCGAGCCTTCCATCGCAGATGCGCCCGGGCGTGGCTGGGCAAAAGTACGCAGGTGCAGAAACCTGCACGCACCCGCGCGTCCGCAGAAGCGGACACAATAATCGCAGAAGCGGAGGTCAGCGCAGGTGCGCATTTTTCCTCCGCAGATGCGAGGCCTCGCCTAGCAGCCCCTTTTTGCAGATGCGAGATTTTCTCGCAAATGCGATCTCACAAATGCAAGCCCAGGCACCGTAGGTGAGGAAATGCCTGGGCAGTGTATAAATTGAAGAGTCCGATATTATTTCCATATTTTGGTCGTTTTGAGCTCGGTTAAGGCGAATATTTGGGCGATTTTCACGGAAAACATTGGGGTAAGTGTTCCTTATTGTATATTGATTATATTTCATGATTCCATACTCGTTTATATCATGAATCCGTGAATTTATGGAAGAAAAATCAGATTTTTCTAAAAATCTTCCAAAAAACAAACGATTCATTCATGCTTCGACTAGTTCATCATGCTTTCAAATAGTTCAATTAAACGTGTCTACTAGAATTTCGGACTATCGGCTAATTAAATCGTTTCCGAGTCAAACTAAGTATGATGAGATTTCTATGAGAAGGACATTACGGTAAGTATATTTAATTCCGTCAAGGTTTCATATTCAATAATAATTATATTTAATATATCTTGATAAATATGATTTTCATGTATCTGAATCATTAAATCTTAATTAAATCAAAGAAGGTCATTGACCTAGAGAAAAAATATTAAGTATTATTATATTCTTTAAGTGATTTTACAACTTTAATCACATAATTGTATGATTTCATAATATTTAGTTCTATTTTTTCCTTTTATTGTGCCAAAATATTACCAAATTAGTTGGTTTGGATTGTATATTATATTCCTTTTTTTTAAGGAATTGATTATTGAATTTTGTAAGTATTAAATTTCGTACATATTCAGTTGAAATTAATTTTAGAATATTTATGCGATTGAAAGTTTATTAATTTTTGTACGCGTTTCATAATAATTGACATAAAATATTAGTTCATCGCACAAACGTAGAGACTAGTAATTTTAAAAAAGTGGGTATCATCTCCCCCAATTTATAATAACAAGGGTTGATAATGTACAGGAGAACAAATTTCGTGGGTCTAAATGCCACTTATTGCACACTTAAGGGAAGATGGTGCACATCACCAATATATGAATTTATTAGTGAAAAACAAAGTCTAAAATTTAACGGCGTCGTCACAGTCGACATTGTAGGGTTTAGGCCGTAGACGGTGGTTTTAGCATTGTAATTGCGATGAAGCCGGTGGTAGGGAGAGTAGTGTCGAACAAAATGCAGAAATCAGTAGTGGTGGCAGTCGATCGGCTCTTCCACAACAAGCTTTACAATCGATATGTTAAGCGCACCTCCAAATTCATGGCTCATGACGAGAAGAACGAGTGCAATATCGGTGACCGCGTAATCTCCTTTTTCTCACTGTGTGTGTGTGTGCGCGTTTTTATTCTGTTTGTATAGTCTTAGATTACTTGAGCTTTTTTAATTATGAGCTTCTGAACTCGCAATTGACTGCAAAATAAATTTTGTTTCAAAAAAAAAAAGAAAAAAAAAGAGAGAAATCTCCGCAGTGTAGCCGCTCCCCAAAATAATAGCCGGCAAATGTATATTTTCTGTGTATTAATGTATAAAATACATATTTTATACATAATCAATGTATTTTTTTTTTTTTTTGTATTTGGCTAGCGGCTGTTAATTACTTTGGGCTGACGACCAAATGTGTTAAAAGCCCCAAAAAAAGCACCTAAATTTACCCATATCTACACTCACTATAGATTTTCATTTCATTTTTCTAATTCTTGGTTGGCCATTTTTAGTGTGTACATGAAGTTGGTGAAAAAACTGGACTTTTTTAGTGGAAATGTTGCTGATGATGTTATTTTGGTCTTTGATCATTCAAGCGGTTTAAATTATGAGCTTGTAAACTCACCAAATCTTTACTAAACATAAGCAGATCCAAACACAATTTTATATATAAGAAGAAGAAAAGATCTTTCTTGATCAATCCATTTGTCGCTCTTTTTTCAATATATTGTTAAAGCTCTCTGTCAACGTACTCGGGAAGGAAATAATCTCTATATGAAATGAAAGAATCTGGAGTCGTAAATGGAGAAAATATTTAAGAATCAAAAGTGGACCTAGTTTATGGAGTGAACTGTTGGGAGCTCGCATGGGAGTTGGTTATTAGACTCCAAAATAATTGTTTGTTGCAATGAAAAATAATCACCTAAAATTATGCATGCCTAGACTCATCTTGGAGCTTCATTTTTATCCAAGTTCTTGGTTGACAATGTGTTCCTATCATCTGTTCCTGTTTGTGGGTACATAAAGTTGGTGACGTCCTTTTCACTTTCAGTTGAAAATTTCTGAATAATGTTATTTCGAGGTCCCAACTATGGATAAAGAATGTGGGTTTGCGATAGGTTATAGTCGAATTATGATACACCTCTGAAGACTAAATTAGAATGGAACTGGTTGGGATTTGTATAACGACCGCCATTAATTTGGGATTGTGTTGTAGTTGATTGATGTGTTCTTGTTATGGCATTTCTGATTATATTACACCTAGAGTTATACAAGAGAGAAAAGAGGAGGCTTCCCCTCGGAATATTAATAAGTATGAAAAACGCTTTTAACCACGAGTTTAAGAAAGAAGCGGAGTGGCGGTAAGGAAAACCCTAATGTATCTATTTTAAGTTGAGGGAAAGATGTGAGGATTCAGATAGAGACTTGGTGAATTGTAAGTGTCAATGATGTATATCCTTGCTTCGTGTGATTAAAGGTTCTTTTGCTCTTTTTTTTGGGATAAGGTTGAAGGTTCTTTTACTCTTTTCCTCGTCAAATTATTATTTACTACAATATATAGCTGCAGCGAGTGCAACTCTTTTATCGAACTGATTTGTCAGGATGATTTACTTTAATCCTTTAATGCCATCGCACTTAGAACTTTCAATTACATCCTTCGTGTACATTGCATTGTATCTTACCATGGACTCATTCTGTTAACTTCCTGCTTGCTTGTTTAAGATCGATATGTCTCAAATGTAGCTAGATTTGGTGTAATCTGTGGACAAGAAGTTGAGTTTTGGATGAAATTGCAATTTCAGGTTAAGTTGGATCATTCAAGACCACTGAGCAAGCGTAAGCACTGGGTTGTTGCTGAAATATTGAAAAGAGCAAGAATTTATGTGCCTCCTTCAGCACGTTCTCCAACTGGAACAGACAACAAAACTGAAGTGTCTCCTAATGCTAGTTAGAGCTGAAAAAGAAGTATTATCTCCATCTTTGCATTGCGTATCCAGAACAAATGCGTAATTTCCGAGCTTTTTGATGTTTTCGGTCCACTACTGTGAAACGAGTACATCTCAACCGCTGTTTTGGGATTGAAGACCCAGTTGGAAGCGGTGTTTGGGTCTGCATTGGTGAATAGACCCAAACAGCCAAAGTAGGAGTTAGAAAACTATAAGACAGTAGGAGCTATAATATTCAAGGCTGTTAAGCAACTAAATGTTATAGTCCTGCAATTGCCATATTCTTTTCTTTCGTTGGATCTTAACCTAAAATGGGTACAAGTTATGGTTTTCTGGTGGTACTGTCATTACCGGCTATGAAGGTTGTTTCATCATTTTGTTGTGAATCTTGTCTAAATTACGCGTCTTGGTAGCTCTTAAATTTAGTAACAGAGTGTCTATTTTTTTTCCGATGCTTGTTGTATGTTGGTGAAAGTATTTTCATGAGCATGCACTGCACATATTTTACTACCTCGGAGCAGAACTTCATGTTGCTGTACAAATCTACAGTATCAAAATCTGGAGCAGAGTTGTTGCTATGAGCTAGTGAGGATTGTTCTCGACGCATACTGGTAAAGTGAGTTTATGAGTTGCTCTAATTTGTACGTCCAAGAAAGTGAAAATACCATGCAAATGAATTGGCAACTTGAGAAAACAAAATTTTGATACTCGTAGTAATTGGGATTTGGCTAGCCATTTCTACACCTTATTACTATAACTATTCAAATAACATTAATAAAGAAATATCATGACTTATCTTATCAATTTCTTTTTTCTTCTTTGACTCTTATACAAGCAATGATAGAGCTTATACAAGCTCTCAACTTGATGATATTACAACTCTTTCAACAGCTGAGAAAACGATCTTTGACCCCTCTTTGGAAGCGTATAAAGGGAGAAGATATTGTAAACCCGCCTTCACAAGCAATAACGTGTTCGGAACTTCACCATATGTCCAAAATTCTCTGCTTCTTTGACAACGAACCATGTCACAAAAAAGAAATTTCTTCTGTATCTGATTTACACTGACAACCTTCAATAGGCAGGTGCCAGAAACAGTCCTAAAAGATATATTTGTCTGGGGGTGCTTCTTCTGGAATCTGAAAAGCAACAAGAATTAAAAAAAACACGAACGATGGAATTCTTTAATATGTTATCTTTAATGTTTTACGCTAGCATTAAATTAAATACATAGGTAGACATGCTTGCAGATGCACCATCTTCTTCCATCTTCAAGGGATGTTATTTTTATTTTTAATTTTATATTTAGTGTTCAAAGCGAGGAAAATATGTTAAGAGCTTACCTCCCCAATTTTCCATTCCTTCTTTGTCCAAATGCTGTTATCCCCACTGAATTCCTCTGTTGATGCAGCATTCCTGCAAAACAAGAACACCCAAAAGGACCTCATCAGTAAGTTAACATTTCATATTTCAACAGAAACTGAAAAAACCGAAATATTTGATGATTTAATTCTCAAGAGTCTATATAATAATTATGGCAAGTTAAGTAACTACTGCTGGAACTTACATCAAGTTGATGTTGAAAGGGGACACCGCAACTGAAGCAGAAAAATGCCCCTGAGGAGTTGGAAGTTGGCCGCTAGAGGGATTAGGAAAATGTTGCGAGGTAGTTGAGGTAGAAAATGGGTTCCTCTCAGAACTTGCTGAAATATTGCTGGGAGTGAAAGGATTTTGATGTGACTGGGATGTGACTTGGCTTCCGAAGCCAAAGGAACCTGAACCTGCAAATAAAGTCGAGCTAAATAAAATGCATAATCAAGAATTGATAACACTCAAAAACCGTGTTAAATCACCTGCATTCCCAAATGAAAAAGCATTCGCCCCAGAAGAACTTGATGTCTTAACAGAGTTCCCAAGGGGACTGGGTTTCCCAAATGTATTAGTTGGAGCAGATGCCCTGTTAATTAAAAAAATGTAGACAGAAGTTGGTAAAAGCCAAATCTCTAGTGGTATGCAGATTTATGGTCGAAATTACACGTATGAGAAAAATAATCGCTTCTTTTTTTTACCCAAGGGTGTGGCTTAGTGAGTCAATGAAGTGAGCTGAGAACCATGAGAACCAAGTGCTCGCTTTTTCCAACAGATTTTGTAATAGGAAAATGTCCTAATGGTAATGTCCAGCACTTGGTTCCTGCTTTGCTATAACTAAAGTTTACCTATCAAAGAAGCAAAAAACTTGGTGTAAATGCACTAATGTAGGTAATATTCATGCATCAGTTCTAACCCTGTATTCAGTAAAGCTCCCAACTGACTAAAACTTGAGGCTGAAGGAGGAAAACTGCTTTGATCACTCAACGATGCATTTGGCGCGGCACCAGGAAAAGGACTTTGAGCACTCAATGAGGCATTCGGCGTGGTACCAGGAAAAGGACTTTGAGCACTCAATGAGGCATTCAGCGCGGTACCAGGAAAAGGACTTTGAGCACTCAATGAAGCATTCGGCGCGGTACCAGGAAAAGGGCTTTGAGCACTCAATGAAGCATTCGGGGCGGCACCGGGAAAAGGACTTTGACCATTAGGAACAGAAGTTGATGGAGCTACATAATTCCGCAATAGATTTTCAAATTCAGCTGCTTTAGAATTGAGCATGTTCCTCTCTCTCTCAACCTGCATTAACACGACGACAGAAAACAGTTTGTTAAGAACTTAGACGCAAGACCACAAGATGCTTTTAGACGAAGACTATGATAGAGTTTACTGATAAGTAATGAGATAGTCAAAGATTGGCACCAAGGCAGTTCCAGCCCTAGCAAAAGGTCTACTGAAAATCGATGCAAAGTAACCTATACAAATCTGAAACAGCAATTATGATCTTTTCCCTGGATAGTAAAAGAAGTGAGCCAAGATAAGGTGAGAATTTCATATGGAAGCAGCAATGGAACCGTAGTTTGCTCAAACTCGGGAAAATCCACTTGGGAAAGAAAGGCAGGTACATCTAGCTCAAGTAGGAAGGTTCAAGTATGACCTAGTAAAATGAGAAAAGGTGATGAAGCCAGTAGAAAGGGACGCTTGGGGTTGAGAAACTTGAGACTATAAATAACAGTCAAAAGAGGAGGCTTTTGGAGGTTTAGCTTCTGCTGACAAGTTTTCTAGGGCCCTATGTGTCAGCATACATGTCATCCACGTGTCAGCGTATGTGTCAATGATAAATGTCAACAAGGATTCCGTTTGCTAAATTGGAGGCAAAGGGCAGAAATGGTCTACTTTTTAGATGGCAAGTGTCTTTTCGTTTGCAAATTATAACAGAGGGTGGGTGAAAGTCTGAGATAGTCCTTATCAAAAGAGCGCTACGAAAATCTATCATTTGCACTAAGCATATCAAAAGTATCATCACTATCCTTCCTAAAAAACAAACTGCAAAATTTTAGAAATCATTACTCAAAGTGAACTTGCTCCTCTCTCAACATATTTTCAGGGGAGGAAGGAAGAAAGAAAACTCAACCAGGTGATGGAAGAGGAAAAGCTTGATCATGTTAATGTAGCTCTCTAACTAATCTAAAGCACTCTGCTTGACTTAGAAGTTTTCCTTCCCGATAAGATAAAATTCTTTGCTAGAATTTTGAGAACAAGTTTCATTTAAGGCATATATACAGATATGAAACCAACAATGTTCAATTGCATAGAACAGTATCAGCCGACAATACAGAGCAAAAGAAGGCAGCAAAGGTGGTGTCTTACAATAGACATCAAGCTCTGTCCACGTTTCGCATCATCATATGCTGCTGCTCGTAGCTCTTCATAGCTAACATCACCGGTAACATCACATGGACCGCTGCATACAAAAGAAGTTGCAGTTCTTGATCAATCTCTATGATCTACTAGTTCATGAAACAGGCAATGCAGATAGAACTTGAACCTAAGCCCACCAGATATATGCAGGGGTCCATAGAATAAAATTTTGCTTCTTTTTGTTTTGCTTTTAGTTTCAGAATAGAAAAAGAGTACAAACTAAGAGTACTCTCTCTATAGAAGAGTTGCAACAAGGGAACTTCGTACGATAGTTTAGTTTGAAAAACATGGATAGCAAGAAAGGAAGATGCAATCACTTCTCCAACCAAAGTTCCTAAGAGTAGGAGTCTAAGATTTGAAAATTTGTAATCTCCCAAGACAAGCAGTTATCAAGTCGTCAATTATAAGTTAGAAGAACATATATGGGTGTAATAGCTAATGAAAAGAACAAATAACAAATTATACTAGTATTTGCGTTAATGCATGATTCGTTGTTTGAGTAGTACAAGAGATCAAAGTACATAAATTGGCAAACGAAAGTGAAGGGTTAGAGATCTTCATTTTTCCAATTCATTAACTTCCAATAATAATTTAAGAGGCTGGATGAGTACATAAATTGGAAAATAAATGAGAGGGTTGGGGATCTTAACACTAATTAAAGAAGCTGGATGACTCGCCAAACAAAAATGTTTTAATCTTCACTAGATCTTATTCATGAGAGAAACTGAAAGTATGAGGCAAGAAAACTTAGCAAAGTGCGTCAAGTGAAGATAAGATCTAGAAACATACTTTTTTCGATGACCATAGCATGTAAGCAACCACATTGGCTTCTCATTATTAAAATCTTCCATAATCTGGCGTCTGCATGAGCCAGAATCTGTGCAGCTACACATGTAGCAGAACCAAACCATTAATTCCATTTAAACCATAAAGCTAAACGCAAAACAGAAAGGGTTGTGCCACAAAGAACTCACGTGTGATTAGGTGCTACAGGCTGATTATCAGATTGCCGCGATGAAGAACTGTTGGTACTTGTAGAACGAGTCCACTTATTTTCGAAAGGCTAAAAAACAAAAAAGACGATAAACAGAGTTAATATGCATCATTTTCGACAAAAAAAGTTAATATGCATCATCTATCCATTCATTTTAATTCTTCATAGAACCTAGAAAACTGGATAGAATTGAACCTACACATACTCATGCACAGGTCAATACCTAGTATTACATAAATATGTCATGTTATCAGATAAAGGAATAATACAGAAAGTTCCAGCAAAACCATACACAGATATTGTCTCGCCAGTATGTAACTATTAGCAATAGAAAACTCTAGTTACCTCAAAAACAAAACAATAAGTATTAAGCTCCATAAACTTGTATTAAAAAAATAGTTAACTCCATAAGTTTCCATTGATCAACCTTTACTTTAGATTCATGTGATTTTTTCTTTTGAAGATAGCATCAATGACGTTCTTCCTAGACATGTCAAATGGGCCGGGTCGACCCACGAACCGGCCCACATAACCCATTAATATTGACCCTTTAACCGGCCCATGACCCACGAAACCTAACCGGACCAACCCATTAATTTAACGGGAATCGGCCGGGCTATAATATTTTGACCCACTGAACCGGACCGGACCCGAACCGGTAGCTAACCCACGGGTCAACCGGCCCGAACCAGCTCACATATATATATTTCAGACAAGTGGTAAAAAATTGAATCCAAACATTGAAGAAAGAATATAGTACCAGACACTATGAGGCGTCTTGTCGAAATAGTCAAATTCCATATGTTTTAGACTATTAGTTATAGAAATAGTCGAATTCCATATGTTTCTCAAGTTTTAATGTTAATAAAGTATGAATTTTCTTTCATTTTTATTCTAACTGGCTTCAAGGACATGTAGTAATTTCAAGTTCGTATATATGTATAAAGTTTGAAATTTTTATCATTTATTAGTTTTAAACTTTTTTAATTAAATTGGATTCGGCCCATTAGGGCCCCAGTTAAGGGGTTACGGGTTCGGGTCCGGGTCAACATGTTTTGATTAATGAGTCAAATCCGCCCCGGCCCCTATAAGAAAGTGAATCGGCTCGGCCCAGTTAAGGACCCACGAGCCAAGAGTCAACGGGTTCGAGTCGGGCCGACCCATTTAATAGGTCTAGACTTCTTCCCTTTGCTGAAATCAAAAGGTAGCCTTTTAAAGAAAAGCTTCAAATAGCATATGAAATTACCTAGCACGTCTTGCTAATGATTGTTTGTTCTTTTTCAACAAATGAAAAGGGCCATTACATCATTCAACCAAAATCGCGTTCCTTTTCTTTTTCTATATGGCATACCCCAAAAATTACATTCTTATTAATACATATTCAAGAAAATACAAGGCTCGTCTTTAAAACTAATAAAATGAATTTCTCAGATGTGTAAATTCCATACTTCGTATTCTTCCGATTCTTTTTATGACTCACCATCATTTCTTCAACTTCTAAAAGTACTACCACCTAACACTAGCAACATGTGAACACTTTTGCTGAGACATAAAGATGAATGATATGAATTCTAGTCCAGGACTAAAGGTTCTTGAGAAGCATTTTTCTTTATCATGTATTAGCAGGTAAAATTTGAGTATATGGAGTGAAGACTCCTCAAAATGGTACTGGGAAAGAATAGTACTTAATTACTTATAGTCTTATATTAAATAAATACTCCTTCAATCATAAAAAGGATGATACTTTTCGGATTTCGAGAGTCAAACTTCTTAATTTTGACCTCAAATTCGGACATTGAATCTTGAAATTTTTGAAATAAAATTCACATATTTGAAAACTACATAAAAAGTACAATAAGTCACAATAATTGACAATTGAAAATATTTAAAAGACATGAAAAAATCGCAGTCAAAGAACTACTCGTTTGATTCTCGAAATTCAAAATTTATCATCCTTTTTGGGACGGGGGAGTAAATAAATATTATATATCCGCAGCAACTAGCTATAATTAGAGGGTAACGACTAAAGTACCTTATATTGACTCTGCTTGGGCCCCAGATCGTTGGATCCTCTAGACTGGAAGTTGTTCTGAACACCGAAACCATAAGGGTTGGACTTTGTCTGTTGCAGATTCGTACTCTGAAAATTAGAGGGCTGGTTGCCAAACCCAAATGGATTTGGCTTCGGCTGTTGTTGGGCAACATGAAGAAATTTACAATGTTCACCATATTGGCAGCTGGATGAATAAGACAAAGATCAGATCATGTTCTTCATACTTAGAGTAACCTAATCAAAATAAGGATTACTCGGCTCCAATAAAAAACTACTAATCTGAATAATACTTTCTACATGTTTTAAGTTAAACAGGTCTAAGACATAACAGATAACACCACTATTCTAAGTTCTAAGATGGAATATCATACCAATCATTATTCAATCTTTGGTCAATATTATGTAATGAGGAAAAGAAATGCAACCCCCCTCCAAAATAAAAATAAAAAAAAACCACACTTTTCAACCTACCTTTACATATCCCGGTAAAAATAAAAAAGTTCAATCAGGGAACTACCCATTCACTTCCACTTAATGTTTCGATAGGTCCTCATCATCTCTCACTTAAACATGAGGTATGCTTAACATTCATCCTTGATATTGTGGTAAGTAAGTCTTAACCAGAGTGCTCAATTTCAACTATTTTCAGTATCTCTAGTGGTAGTACCATTGGTAATAACATTATAAGCAGCATAGTTATAGTAACAGAGGCCCCAAGTAGTACAGTGTAGACACCACAACTCCAGTCCCGAAAATTACATTGGCACCCAAATAAATACCATCAAAGGTAGGGATCATTTTACATTCTTGACCTTCATGGAGAAGAAAAAAAGAATGAAAATAAGACAATAAGAAATACAGTGTCTCTTCTCAATTTTCTTCTTTCCCTTCTATTTCACTGGAAGCAATATTAACAGTTTAACAGTGCAACAACTATGCCTCAATGCCAAAGAAGTTGGGGTCGGCTATATGAATCATCTCATGCATAAACAATAATAACATTGTCCAGAAATTTTTTTGCTTTGGGAGAGAAGTAACAAACTTATTGAAGCCAGATCAAACAAAACAAAAGTTAAACTTTTTGCCAATCCCATACATGAACTAATGTAATTCTGTACCCCAACATAAATTTCTTCATTGAAATTAAACAAATTGCCAATCCAAGAAGAACAAAGAGACGAAAAAGCTTGAAGCTTGGGGCTCTACTCAGTGGCATAACTAAGTAGGGTGTTTTGGACCCCTTCGTCGGAAAATTACACTGTACAAATAGGGTAAAAATGATAGTATGTATTTGCTTATATGTGAGCTGTTGAATCCCCTTGACATAAAGAAAAATTCAAGCATTATAGTGAAGGGGGTTCAAAAGTTGCTTTAGGTCATGTGTTTAAATCCCAACTGTGACATCCTAATTTATTTTTTTGAATCCACTTGTATAAATTTCTGGTTCAGCCATTCGCGATACTAGCTAAGATCATTCAGCCATTACGATAAACATAAGTATAACCATCAATCAACTACGCCTTAATCCTAAACAAGTCAGGGTCGGCTATACAAAATTTTCTAAATTCATTCCGCTCAATCCAAGCCTTCCAATACAAAATTCAAAAAATACACTTTTATGCTGACTGTAAACCAACTCTACTCCTATATACTACATATAGGGAAATCAAGAATTTTGAAATGCAGGTTTAAAGGGGTTTATCAAGAACCCTAAATAATTAATTAAGTATGTGAATGTAATTGAAGCCAAAAAAAATCAAAAAATTATACCTGCCGCGCAGGAAATTTCTGCAGGGTTCTTTCCTGGGGGGCATAGCGTAAATCTTTTTTACTTATAGCTTCCGCTATTCTTCTTTCTCACTTCTCAGTTTTAAACTTTCTTAGTTCGTAAGTTGTAAGGTGCAAAGAAGTGAGAAATTATGGAATATTGACCAGTGAAATCGCCTGAGAGTGTCTTTATTTGAAAAGTCAAATACGTTTTTCTTTGACTAATTTTTTAATATTTTCTAAATTTTTTAAATTATTAATTATTTTAATTTATATTTTCTGAATTTTCAGAATATATATATATTTTAATTTTAAGAAATTAAAGAACATATGTTCAATTTTACACAAAAAATTAAATATTTTTTCCTCAGATATCACACCAAATGGAATGGAGGGAGTAATGAACGAATTTTTTTTTTTAGTTTCTCACACAGAGTTCAGTAGGCATTTTAAGGCTAAAATAATTTAAATTTACACTAAAAAATTACAATTCACAATAAAACACTATCTACCAAAGATGACTTAATTCCCAAAAGTCGAATGCTAACAAAGGACCTTAGTTCATCAACATGTCAGGCCAAGTTTGCCCACAAAACAGGTAGACAAATGAGAGATTGACACAAATAGGATTATTTGGTGCAACCATTTAAATTTTGAGGGGATAAGAAAAGTCTTGGGAATATAGTTGTTTACCTAAAAATGGATAACAACTAAATTTATATGTGGTTTTAAGGATACACGGATTAATTCAATACAAATGATAAATTGCGTTAGATTAAACAGATAAAGGACGTAATAAATTTGTCAAACCAATTAAGGGGAGTGATCCCGGACTCAGTAACAACTTTAATGAAATGCCTGCCTTCGATCACGGGCTCACGATAATGAAGAACTTATGAACAAAAGTAAGAACTTTGAATAACAGAGAAAATAAGAGTATATTGCCTTGATATGCGTATTATAATGATGTCTAATGAATAATTAGACTCCCCTTTATATAGTGGGGAGTTTTACCCCAAGTACAATTCCAAAAGAGGTAAAAATCTTCCGTTTTACTAATCACTGATTTTTTGCCGATACGTGCCGAGATTCACGTCGTAATATCCGGATAGGCACGGATATCACGGCCCTTTGTTTGTCGTACTCGATTATCTGGTAATGCTCTTCGAAGTTTTGGGGTTCGAATCAGACCTGGGGACGTGGCCCAGATTCTTCCGATGGCAGGTGTATTTCCCGGACCCCGACTCGACGGGCTCCTTACCCCTGACTCCGATTCTTTACAGTCACATCTCTGCCCTGTTTACTTCATCGGGAACCGAGGCGTTGAAAGAGCTTGGTTTCGCCCGTATACAATAGTATCTGGTCAGAATTAAAATATATTGGTCAGAAATTCTTGAAGAAGCCTTATGGTGATTCGTCCCATAATTTTGCAAGTTATAGTGATTGCCATAAAATTATGACTGTTGCCATAGTCTTGTGCAGTTGGCATAAAATCTATCGGATCACTAGAATTGTTTATGATAAAAACTTTACAGATTTGTGCTTTAAATTTTTGATCGGCGTGCTTTAAAATTTTAACCAGCATATTTTAAAATTTTAATGCAGGATTATTTTCCTAATTCTTTTTACGGGATCAAAATATAAATAGTGACAAAAAGAAAAAGGTCCCGTCATTTCCCGTAGAAAAATTAGCAAGAAAATACTTATATAGGCCAACTCCTCCTGACGGTTATTTCTACACTTCCTTTCCCTCTTCTTGTTTTCTCCGCTCTCTTCTTATATCCTTCACTCCCTCTGAAATTCCAATCACATTCATCTTCATATCCATCAATTTTTCCTTAATAAATCTTACTCCAAACATGGCTACCTCTTTTTCTGCTACAAAACTCTTACAACCTTTGCCTCCTCTAAACTCCAGTGTCAGATCCACTGATAAGAATACCCTTTTGAGTAATCACTTTAAAGACAGCTCCTTTTTTCTTGGATCAACCCATAAACTCTCTTTAAAGAAACCCTTTTCGCCTCCTCACTCACAACGCCGATCCAAACCTGTTTTTGCTGTCTCCGAGGTTGTACAAGACAAGAAGCTCAAAAATGATTCTTCCCTCTCCAATCTGGTACTTGCATTTTCCTTATTTTTATCATAATTTATGTTTGTTTTTGTCTTAAGAGCTCATTTTTTCAATTGGTTCATGCTTGCTTTAATCATTGCTGTGTTTTGAAGTGTTTTTTCTGTTGATTTAGTGCTTATTTTTCATTGAATATGTTGTATGATTGAAGGTGTTTGATGAGACACGGAGTTTAGAAAGAAAGGCTTTTGAAATTTGGAGTCGAAAACATGCCATAGAATTTCTGTGGCTATAAAATATCAAAGCTTAAATTTGAATTGTTTCTAAATCATCCCCAGTCCGTTACCTGCATTTTCCTAATTTTTAACGAAATTGATGTTAATTTTTGGTGTTATAAGCTCATTTTTTCAATTGGGTCATGCTTGCTTAATCACTGTTGTGTTTTGAGTCATTATATTTGTGTAGAATTTCCAGTATTTGTAACTAAGACATCATATCTTTGTAGGATTCTCATAGTATTAGGGGGGTAAGTGTTTGATTTAAAAATACATGGGTATGGCTGCAACTGAGTCATATTACAAGGGTGCTGTATAATTTACCCAAAAAATGAGGTACTCCCTCAGTCCCCGAGTCCCACATTATGTGAAAGTGTTTGATTGAGTAATGAGTTTAAAAAAGAAAGACTTATGATCTAAAACATAACATGTCCATGGATATAAATCATTTCATTAAAGGTAAAATGGGAAGTTTAAAGTTAAATTCTTTTTCATTATAGAAAGTTATCATTCTTTTCGGCAGAGACTAAAACGTAAAGTGGGTCAAATGAATTGTGACAGAGGGAGTATCAATTGTGTGAGTTCGGATGGGTTTATTAACTTTTTGAAAAAAATTACATAGTATGAAACTACATAAAGTAACAACTTTCACATTAATTTAAATATTTTCCAATAAATTGTAGTCGATGAGGTATGGAGTACGGGAGTGGAAGCATATACTCTGAATGTGAATTTGGATGTTGGTTTATAATGTCTTGAAACAGAATTTACATTGTTCGAAACTACATAAACTAATATATGTCAAAGGTTTATGTAATATAAAATATTTAAACATGTTCCAAAAAATTGTAGTCAAGAAAAGTTGTGATAAGCTCTACAAATCGTAATAGTATCGTATACAAATACAATGGGACTAAGGGGGTAGTTTTCTTTTTCTTTTTTGTGTGAATTCACTTCACTGAAAGTGTTTCAAGCTTTTATAACGTATAAATTTTAACTCAATTTTATGTGCGTGTTGTCCCATCTAGTTAATTACCAAAGAGGAAGGATTGGAGTTGTATGAGGACATGGTTCTTGGAAGAGCCTTTGAGGACATGTGTGCCCAAATGTATTACAGGGGAAAAATGTTTGGTTTTGTGCATTTGTACAATGGCCAAGAAGCAGTCTCCACTGGCTTCATTAAGCTATTGAAGAAAGAGGACTCGGTGGTTAGCACTTATCGTGATCACGTCCACGCGTTGAGCAAAGGGGTTCCGGCACGTCAAGTGATGAGCGAGCTCTTTGGGAAGACCACTGGCTGTTGCAGAGGCCAAGGTGGTTCCATGCACATGTTCTCGAAAGAACACAACGTTCTCGGCGGTTTCGCTTTCATTGGTGAGGGTATCCCTGTGGCGACAGGTGCCGCCTTCACTAGCAAGTATAAAAGGGAGGTCCTGAAAGAGGCAGACTGTGATCATGTAACTATGGCCTTCTTTGGTGATGGAACTTGCAACAACGGCCAGTTCTTTGAGTGCTTGAACATGGCTGCACTATGGAAGTTGCCCATTATCTTTGTTGTTGAGAACAATTTGTGGGCAATTGGCATGTCCCACTTGAGGGCAACTTCTGATCCTGAAATTTGGAAGAAAGGTCCCGCCTTTGGGATGCCTGGAGTTCACGTTGATGGCATGGATGTGTTGAAGGTGAGGGAGGTAGCAAAGGAAGCTGTTGCCCGAGCTAGGAGAGGTGACGGTCCCACTCTTGTTGAGTGTGAGACCTACCGGTTTAGAGGACACTCTTTGGCTGATCCAGATGAGCTTCGTGACCCTAGTGAGCGTTCTAATCCTCTTCTTCTGTATAGTTGTTTAACTCTGTCTAGTTTTGCTTATTTTCCTTTTCCCTAATCCACTCAGTTTTGTGTCTAATTTTTTACTGTAAAACCAGAGCCTGGCTTTAGCATATGTTTTCAAATTGTTGAATGTATTAACTGTTACATACTATTTATATGCTATTATTCTATCACGTAAAACTCAGGTAGCTTTTCTGAATACTGGTTAAATGTGGTTCGTTACATTTTGACCCTTTTTTGTGGTGGTGTGCTCTTCAACTACTATACTAGCTTGAGCTTTCTTAGCATATCAGTAAATGTCAAATAATATTTGAGAACTTCATATTTCATCATGAGAAATGCTTTTCATTGATGAATTGTCACAGACGTACCATATCGGTCCTTGTCTGTGGAAGTGCATTGGGTTTGCTACAACAAATGTACAATAGATCTGTAAATAATTGAAATAGTCGAATATTTAATTGAATTGCTGGGTTGTACAAAATGAACCTGTTTGAACTATACTGGGCGTCAATGTGCTTATAAGGTGATGAAATGCAGAATCTTTTGGATATTACTCTGCAGTAAGAAACCAAAATAGTGAATAACATGATATCTACATTTTGATCATGTTTGAAATTGAAAATTGGTTGAAAATTATGGAAATAGTAAGCAATCTGAGAAGAACCATTATGCTGCATTTTGATCATCTTGGAGATTGACAAATTTGTGTGCAATGAATGCTTTCGCCCTTTGATCTTTATTGCTTCCATATAAGAGTAAACCCCTATTTTCTGTATTGCGAAAGAGGTATATATCCAAAATTAAATAAAATTAAAAACATTTAGATAATTAGCCGCTGAATTCTCTTCATTAATGTGGTGCTTATGCTTCTCTAAGCGGGGGGTCTAGTGGAAACAACCTCTCTATCTCCACAAGTTAGGGGGTAAGGCTGCCTACACACTACCCTCCCAAGTGGGATTATACTAGGTTTGTTGTTGTTGTCGTTGGCCGCTGAATTATGTTATGTTGTGTTGTTGTATGTTAGCCAATGATTTTATTTATTTGACCTTAATCTGTTTATCTTGGCAGCTGAAAAGAACCATTATGCTGCACGAGATCCTATCAGTGCCTTGAAGAAGTATATGTTTGAGAACAACCTGGTCAATGAAGCAGAGTTGAAGGCCATTGATAAGAAGATTGATGAGCTGGTTGAAGATGCTGTTGAGTTTGCGGATGAAAGCCCTCATCCTGTTCGTAGCCAGCTGCTAGAGAACGTATTTGCCGATCCAAGGGGCTTTGGGATTGGGCCTGATGGAAGGTACAGATGTGAGGATCCCAAGTTCACTGAAGGCACTGCTCATGTCTAGAGGTCTCAGGGCGCTATCAGTAATTGATGATATCAGGTTTTCTTTTATTTAGTGATTACTAATCGCACTTCTACATATGTCTTGGTGTCTTTCGTATTAGAAAAAAATGGTACTAAGGTACTTTATTGTTTCAATTTATGTCAGGGTTTTGCCTTCGCTTTTACTTTCATATAGTTTTCAAGTTGTACTATATCATGAACAACAAAATCTGAAAGGCCTCGCGTGCTTTTCACGTTCATTGCTTGTGAATCTCTAGTTTCTTGGATTGGCATGGTTGTTTTTCTGTGCCGGTAGAATTAAACTCTTTCCAAAATATGTTAAATGGAATTTTCCAATTACATAAAAAGATAAATATGTCATTGAAGAAACTTTAATAGTCTTTACATTTTCTCCCTCTAGTTTTATACCTTACCTTTTCCCTGGCCATGGCAAACATCACAGTTCTAAGTAAATATATGTTCTATGTGAAGTGACTGCCCTTAAAAAATGTATCTCATATAATCATATTTATCACTTGTAGTAAAAATAACTTGCAAATATCACACATATTTTGTTGTACCCGCAGCTCCTCATGCTTGAGTGTCTTCTTCCATGATTAGACGTAGACAAAATGGCACTCGTCGTAACCTGAGAATTTTTTTATACTGTCAGCGTATATAATTATATCTTGTCATAAAAAATGTTTATGAGTTGAGTCTCACTTGGATCAACGGTAACAAGCATGGCGATGCCTCCAAATTCAAAAGTTCCTCCAGCTTGTTTAGTCTTTTGCCAGTAGCTATTAAAAGCATAAGAAGCATGAGAAAGTACAGTATTTGGCTGAAAGCAAACTCCATTTTGTTCTATGGCCTCACAACCAGCCCCAGAACCACATGCATAGTCCATTGCCTGCTGAAGTAAGACTTCTGGTACCGTTGGCTTTGCTACGCACCAAACAGCATTCTCCGGTTTCTTATAAGGCGGTGTTGGTGCCGATGGATGAGTCATCGGTGGCGGGATAATCGCTGGTGGTTTAGGTGCATAATAGGGTGGAGTTTGTGTACTTGGAGATGGTAATAGTGGTGGAGTGGAAGAGAAAGGTAGTGGCACAGCCCCTAAAGGAGGAGGAGGGTTTATGCAGTTTGGTGGATTATTTACTGGGTTTTTTGCTTCAGTTAGCTGTAACTGTAAATGATTGTGTAATACTAAACCATGGGGTTTCTTGACACTATCTGCATTGTTGATAAGAACAAAAGAAACCGACAGTAACACTATTAGAGATTTAAGTTATATACGCTGACGAGCAAATGACTTTAACACTATTAGCACAATTTAATCGGTTATAGCAGGTTATTACTCTATTTTTATAGAGTATAAGTTCTATGCATCGATGCTGTAAATAAATCTACACCATCAGGTTACTTAAAAGGCAGTTGCAGGTAATTCTCTGCACAAAGACTAATTGGTAACCTTAAGGAGGTGGGAAATCAAATGCACTGATAATGCAAGAAATGTTTTACACTATCAGTGAATATAACTTAAATCTTTTTCATATTGCAATATTAGGCTTAATATGAAGTGTTACGTATTTTCGTAGGTCAACTAAACGTATCTTTATACTATTAGTGTACAGAAATATAAGCTCAATACAATAATAATATTAATCTCATTAAGGGGTAGAGCAGCAGAATAACATTAGTAGTGTATGCTAACTTACCTCATAGACCAAAGGGGGTTGAGGCTAGCAATAGAATTGTTTGTAAGGAAATAATGTAGCATCTCATATTGTTGTTTCTTGAATTCATTATAACAATGAATAGTGGATATGCTTGTCTTGCTGCTAAGTTTCCTTTGTATATATGTCTTAGCTATTCTAAGAGCCTTGTCAGCTGAATTTGAACTTTTATTTAGAATAAGAAGAGTGGTAAAAAATAGAGGCCTTAAAGCAGAGTGTGGGGGACTAGCCAACAGATAAAATTCTTGAAGTAATGGAATGAAATTCTTATTGCAAAGTGAAGCTCAATTGGAGCAGCCAGTGCATTAGGCATTTTGCGTTTACGTTGGGTACGGGGAAGGGCCGCACCCTAAGAGGTGTGATGTAGATATCCTATCTTAATACAAGTATTAGTTGCTGCTTTCACGGCTCGAACCTATGACCTATAGGTCGCACGAAGATAACTTTATTGTTGCTCCAAGGCTCCCCTTTCAAAGTGAAGCTCAACTATCTTTTTTTTTGGTTGGAAAATATGGTGTTTGGTGTTTGACGAGTTTGTGCGCATCTCCATTAATTTATTGGGTATCTGCTTTCACCAACACAAATACCGAGCACTCTGTGCATCAAAACTTAGTCGACGAAAATAAGCTTAGTCAGCCACTTATCAAACTAATTTGTGAATTAGGACTTTTGTCCGTTTTCTGGTATTTACATATGGTTTGCTTTTCTTCCCAGAATATATGTTTTCTTGCGATAAGCAAAAGAAGAGAATGGGGCCAAAAATATAATACATGCTTTTGGAATCTTTCCTTTTGCTTGGCAAGTACTCAAAAATAGGGCTGGGCATATATCATGTATAACCGATAGCCCGAACCGATAATATGCTATTGGGTTATGGATATCGGGTTATTGGGTAAATATTTCGATAACGATTTAATGTTATTTGACTATTGGGTTATCGGTTCGGGTCTCGGTTTGCCCAATTTTAATAACGGTTTAACTGATATCCCAATAAGTTTTAACAAAATTATAATTTTACCCACTAAATATATAAAGTCACCTTATGGTTTCATTCTCTCAATTCTCTCGGCAGTTACTCTTCATCTTCCGACCTTATTCCTTAGAGTAAGTTTTAAACTTTTCTGAATTTCTCATCTTAATTTTTCCGTTAAGATTTGTAGTTCTATACTTTAAAGAATTAATTGTTTAGATTTTTCTATTTATTTGTTTCTTTTGTTGCACTGATTCTTTAGTATTTACAAGATTAGGAATTTATTATTTTCCTATTAGTTATGCCCGCCCGCAGTGACATAGTTAATAAAATTAATTAGATTGTTGATTGTCTTATTCCTTACTCCTGCTGACTTATAACTTTAAAACTTGAGATCATTCATTGGGATTTTCAAATGCAAAGAAAGTGTTCTTTTCTAAAGTTGAAATTTAATCCATCTTTTTTTATGAACAAAAATTGAGTTCCTTTCTCTTTCTCTTAACAGTATGATCACGATTTCTATAATAAAAATATGAAACTTTTGGATAATTTTTATTCTTATCGGGTAAACCGATAAGGATCGATAACCAACAAACCGATACGCAATAATCGATATCTTATCGGTTCGGTCATCAATTTAGCATATTTATAAACCGATAACCGATATGCCGAACCGATAACATTCACAACCGAATCGATCGATGCCCACCCTACTCAAAAGTCAAAAGACCAGACTCGTGCATCACTCTTTCAAAATTTTATCTCTGAAAACAAATAAGCTTCTTAGGCCATTTTACAAATTCAATGCCTAGAATGTAAACCACTAATTCAGTAGGCATTGCACACTGCAAACTAGTTTTTTACGGGGAAAAAACATAACTAGGCAATATTTAAAGAAAATTTACAAAATTATAGCAACATTAGTTAATTATCATCCGGCACCTAAATATTAACATATCATAATAGCTTTCAAATAAATATTCCTAAAATTCAGCTGGACAAGAATCAATCCCATAAGAAGTTGTTCCTAGTTTTTCGCTCAAATGTTTTATTTTCCATAACTGATACAATCCTTCCATATTTGTTTTGTCTTCCCTATGTATTCTAATGCCCTTCTTTCTTATTTTCTTTTTTGTATATGCAAATTTTTTATTTTCGTTTCCTTCTTTGGAGTTTAAATTGGATAATAACATATTATTTTAACACGTTACAACTTTGACTGGTGCTTAAATATTTTCTATTTAAATGGTATATGTGGTAAATTATATAATTGTGGTATATGTAAAGTATAATACACACCTATAAAGAATATGTATGGTATATTTTGTTTATTTATATTTATTATGATATATANCTGAGTAAAAATAAAATTGTACAACAAAAAGTTTAAAACTTAAAGAAAAAAATACTAAAATTCCCATTGTGCAACCTCGTTAAAGAGGAGATTATTTTTGAGATATTCTTCTTTTAGAATCTTTGATGTATTTGGGTAAGTGTTATTGATGGAAGAGGAAATAGAATTATGGAAGAGAGAGGAAAAAAGAAATGTAGTAAAAGTGTAATGATGTAGAGGAATGGATCCTTTAGTTAATGGAGTTACCAACGTGAAAGTGCTAAAGAAGTAAAGAATTGTGTCGTTTTTGGAATAAACAAAGACTACTATCATTTATAAGAATAATTTTAAAAAAGAGAGCAACCATGTAAAAATCTCTTTACCGTTGAGGTCATTTTGGATAGGAAAATTACCCAAATTGCCACTCTATAAACTTTCCTAATAAAAAATAGCCCAAAATAAAATATCTATTAAAAAAAGGCCCAAATATCATTTTGGGCCCAAATAGTTTCAATTAATGTCAGTTTTTTTGTATCCGTTATTTTTGTAATACAGACACCGTTCTCTTCTCTAAGTTTTACTCTCTCTATCTCTCACTCTCTGTCTGTCTCCCCATATGCGATTTTTTGCTAAATTGATTAATTGAACCAAAATTGCTGAAATTGACGACAAAACACGATACATTTGAGGTTATTTTCGTCTGATTCCAGGTAATTTGGAGTAGAAAATCTCTTATTTTGTATATTTTTTCGGATTGCATGTGTTTTTGGAGAAGCGATGTTGCCTTTTTTTTAAGGCTTTTGCGACTGGATTGTTTAGTTAGAGCTCATCGTAGGTATCTGTTATAGATGATTTTGTTAGTTTTGGTTGAGTTTTGTATCAATTTCTTCACAAAATTCTGTAACCGTTTGTTCGTATAATTATTTTTAAAATTTTCTCATTGAACCTAGTTTCAATTGTGAAAAAGAGCAATATGACAAGACAAACTTGTTCGATGAGTTCATCACCTTATTCAAAGTCGGTTTCCATTGAGAAATCGAGCAACATGAGAAGAGAAACTAGGTCGATGAGTTTATCTCCTCATTCAAACCCGATTTTAGTTGAGAAATTGATTGATGAACGAAATATGGGAAGACAAAATCGTTTCGATAGTGTTAAAGTGTTAGAATCTCGAAAGGATGTTGTTGGACAATCTGAGGAAAAAAAGAGCAAAATGGTTAGAGTGGATGATGTTGAAGGTCAGAGAAAACGTGTCATGGAGGACGAAGTGAATTTGGGTGTCAAACCAAAAAAAGTAAGGTTCCAAAGGCAGAAAAAGTTAAAATTCCTGACAAAGTTTGTAAGGTCAATTTCAGTTATATTTTTTTCTATTGTTGAATCTTCTTTTAAAATTAGATTTAGTTTGTATTTGTTTGTTTTTAATTTGTGTCATTTATTTGTAGCCTTGGAAGCTTTATATTCAACTTGGTGAGCCTTTTCTTGTTACTCATTGGACATCATACACTAATGTGGACATCGTATCAGTTTTACAGTCAAAGTTGACTGATGTCCAACTTCGGATGTTTAGGGAAAGCTGTTTTGGCTATTTCCTTGATTTACCTCGAGTTGTTATTCAGGCACGAATGATTCATTCTTTAATGTTTAGGGAGTTGGTTCAAGATAAGTGTGATCAATTTTATGTGAAATTGAATGACAAATGTGTTTTACGTTTTGATCTTCAAGAATTTGGTGTTGTAAGTGGTTTAAACTATTGTGGCAATGAACATGTTAATGGTAACTTCAGTGGGCCCAATAGGCTGGTGGATACTTTTTTTTTTATATATTTTGAAGCGGTGTCAAAGAAGTTACTTATTGATTATTTTGAGAAGAAGAAATGGCAGTCTGATGAAAACGCATTTAAGATTGCAATCATTTATTTCATAAATACATTTCCAATGTCCACTCAGGCTCAGAAGATATTTATAAGTAAGCATGATTTCTATCTTGTCGAGAGTGGTGAGTATATGTCCTTTCCCTGGGATAAGATTGCATTTCGAGCTTTAATGAAGTCGGTGAGGGATATGTTGAGGGAAAAGTCTGAGTTTTATAGGATTGGTGGATTTCCTCTTGCGCTACAGGTGCAGTTCTATGAATGTTGCACTGTAATTGATAAATAGTTTGTTGTTCGCATTGGAGATCATACACCATACATATTGAATTGGGAAATGACAGACATGCCAACGCGTGAGGACTTCTCTACTGGTTTCTTCAACAGCACAGGGAATAAGGTACCAACTTTTATGTATTGATGGGTTATACATATATGATACATTGTAATTCATTGTGATAAATAAAATATACAGTTTTTATACATCTTTGATATATCTAGGACTGAAGCACTTTTTGTTACATTTGTAATTTAAAATTATTTCTCCTACAACTGAAGAGCTAAGGAGATTTACTTTGCCTGTTGAAGTTAACGATGAGTATCAGAAATATTTGACATCACGTAACAGGGGAAAACTTCCTATTAATGATAGCGATAATTTTATCATGCCACCCCCGAAACAGATTAAAGAGGCTGTCCTACCAAAAAAGATGTCGGGTGTCCAACCTGTTGATTATGACCATGAGTTACAGAAGTTGAAAGCTGATGTTAAACAGATTTGAATTGGTTTTTTATATTTGTTGTTTGAAAGTTTTGTTAGAAATGTATATTCAAAGTCTATTATTTTTCTTATTTGTTTCCTTTTGTAGCTCCAGAAGCAGTTAAAGTCCTTCATGGAACATGTTTCTGATAAATTTAAGGAAGTCTTTGTGTTGATAAATTCCAAGGTATGTGTTTCTTTTCCATGGAGCATTTTCTTTTATTTTTTGAGTTTACTTACTGTATTATTATTTTTTTAAAAAATTTGGTGCAAGCGAAGATAAATCTGGTGCATATCCAGAGGAAGACACAGTGGTCGTCAAGACAATAATAATTTTATGAGCAATATGGAGGTTGGTGGCAATAAAGATGTTGACATGGATG